CTAGGTCTTCTGGAAAGCCCTTGGTATTTTTCTTTGCCTGACGTAAAACGTCTTTTGACAGATGTGCAAATCGCCGGTCCATGATCTCATAATCCACCTTTTAAACAGTGGACATGAATTGCACTGTCTCAGCCGTGCTAGGCTTCAACATCAGGAAGTACAAGGCAATGTCCTTCCCTAGAGTTCTGAACTCCATGATTGAGAGTGGGGACTTCCCTCAATGTAAGCTGATCCGTGATTTGTCTCCATGAACACAAGATCCTCCTTTGAGTAAGGAGCCCAAAGACATGAGACGACGATGTAATCCTGGCACTAGGTACACTGGATATATTTGAGAAGTCACCATAGTCTTTTCTCCATGCCTTGTGACATAATGATTGATGAAGGCTGTTCCTCAACCAATAAGGGCAACATGTGTGTTCTTATCAGTGGTCTGAGCAACAATAGGATCTGAGAGTTTCTTATATCTGACCAGATCACTAATCTCCAATGTCACATGGAGAGATGCACCAGAATCAAGAAGCCATAGAGGTCCTAATTCATGATGATGATGATGTTTCCTCTTACACTTAGAGCAGGCAGCAAAATCAGAGTGCACACAGAATAGATTGGTACAAAAATCATGTAATCGAATCATCAACAAATTAAGTACAGAACCTGGGGCGGCGGTGATTACACGCTCTGGCTGTGAGCAACAATCAGAATTGTGCATATGCCCAAGAAGGCAGGGTACTTGCCTTTCGGCGGAAGGAGCGTCCATCTCCTTCATAAGGGTGTTGAAGTCAACAACCTCATCCCAATTGACTGGTTCAGCCTGGGCAAACTCGCTATCTCCAAATAGAAAATCAAGATTGTTCTGTTGGCCAGTGGTCATCACGACATTGAGGATCTCCTCAATACAACTGCGCTTGGCAGGAGGACCATCATCCAGAGTGTGGTTCAAGCTGGAAGCAACTGGGGATGGAGAACACATGATTGTGTCTTCTCAGAGCATTCCTTTCTCATTGACAATCTTGTCAAGAGTCCAGAAGCATTCTGTGGTCACTGTCATGTCCATCTTCTTGGCAAGCTCAAAGACCTTGCGAGTAGGCTTCTGGAACTCGGTGTCAATAATCCCATTGTTGTTAATGGGAGACTTCTCTTGAACCACGCAGATTTTGGGTCCATCGCGAGAGATGTGCGTGACATGCAAGATTGTTGGCGCAGGGATAGACAGAGTGAGCGAGGCGATCAAACCGATAGTGAGAGAGCCAGTGATCTTGGAGAAACCATAGACATGACCGTGATTGGCCTTGCCCTTGCCCTTGTTGTTCTTGTTCTTCCCACTGTGCTTGCCTCAATGGTTCTTCTTCTTCCCATTAGCCTTATCACCCTTATCGGGTGTAGAGCCAGAGCTCTGTTGCTAATTGGTGAACAAAGGGTCATTGCGCTTGCGCTTGGTATTGAACTTGGCCACATGATTCTGGCTTTGAGACTGCTTCTGAGCAAAATGCATCAAGAGGGCGTTGCAAACCACCGAGACCTTAATCTCGTCCTTGTCGCAAGTCTGTAGAACAGACTCTGTGACAGAGGGAATCTGGGCTATGTTGAGAATGATCATTGCCCTGAGGAACTCAGAAATGATCAAAGACTCATTCTCCAGGCACGTAAACGCTGTAGTGATCACCAGCAGCTGGGGATCTGGGTGCAACCCCACGTTGTACTTGGCGTTCAATGTGGTTTGGAAGTACGCATAAAGGTCAGCGCACTGAGCACCACCATATTGGGTCTTCAGATGCTCCCAGATCTTAGTAGCTGACACTATATCAGTGGAGGGAATGTTAGCAATGACACCTTCAGTTAGGCGCAACTTAATGCTGCCTTTGGCTCTGAGGTCATCATGCTTCCATTGCTTGATCTCCAATGCATTGGTAACAATGCCATCCACTCTGATTGAGGTCGGCACAGCTTCAGTCAGCACATAGGAGATCCCCTGATGTTCCAGATAGGACTCCATAGTTCCAGACCAGACAAGCCAGTGCTTTCCATCAAAGATGGAGACAGCATTGAAAATGTTGTTGGAGTTGGACAACATATTGATCTGTGTGAGTGAATCAGCATCAATCTAATCTGATAAATAAAATCAAAAATCAAGATGATCAGATCCTCATAGATCATAATCTCCTTCAGAGATCGATGCATCTGGATCAATCAATGTAATCGCGATCTGGCATGGTTTCACCAGCGCTATGCAGCAGCTGAAGTGATGACAGATAGGCTAAAGATGCTGCTCATCATTGCAGCCAGTGACAGTGCATACAATGAATGTTGCAGCCACTAAGGCGCAGACATAGCTCTTGGGGCCCATAACCTGTTGAGCACTGGGGAGAGTGTCTAGCAACCCACCTGTGTGAGTTGAGAGCTTAGTGTGGGCACTATGCGGGAGTAGTCAAGAGACTTGTATTAAAGGGTAATAGAGCCCTCCTTATATATGATGCAGGGGGCTGTTTGTGTCTATTTGGGATGAGTCGACATGACTCTAGATGACACATAATGGAGTCATAGATGTGTATCATGACATCCATCTTGACAGATGATATTTGATTGACAGTACCATTTGCTCCACCCCTCTATGGTCAATGCGGCATAATATGGGCAGCTGTGTTCATCACAATCAAACAACCAGGCTATTGTTGGTCGTGCTGGGGACCTTCAAAGACTGTCAGTCAATTTGACAACGTCATGGAGCTATGGACAGTGTACACTGAGGGCAAACCATATGTCAACAAGAAGAAGAATCAAACGGGTATGAAACCACCACTTTGTCTTGTGGAAGAAACATTTGGTGACAAGTGGCGCACAGGTCCTGTGATTGGAACCAATTCTGTGTGTGGCTCAGCTCAACATCTTTTTAACATGCTTATTTGTATCAGCAATGGAAGACTGTAGCAAAAAGATGGGAACATTTTTGCAAGATACCAGAATGGAATGTTGCAGAGTTGTTGCACTGAAATGTTGCTCCGCAAGTCATCATTGACAAACTCAAAGAGTCACGTGAGCGTTCTCTGGAAAGTGGCACCACCTACTGCATAAGCCTCAATGCATTGATAGACAAAGTTTGCAAGCGGCGAAAAGCTTGTGTTCAGGAAACAGAAGTGGCTGAATGTGTATTGTCTCCCCCTCCAACCTCTTCCCCTGTTCCTCCTCCGTCCTCTCCGGTTCCTCCATCCTCTCCTGTTCCTCTGTCCTCTCCCGTTCCTCCGTGTTGGCCAGTTTGTTCATCTCTGCCACAAACATCATCCCCAGGTGCTACGCCGTTTGCAGGTGACCCATTGTTAGCTGCTTTTGAGCTGCAGACTCCCAGGTCTTCACCAACACCACACATACCAGTGCAACAAAAACATCATGCAAAGGCTATTGCTGCCCGTTGTCCGATGAAGGAACCAAAGCCTGGGTCTTAATTTCTCCTCTTTTTTTGGTCTCCCCTCATTGCTAAACATTGTGTCTGCCATGCCTTTGTATAGTATTGCGTAGTCTACCATATATGCACATAATCGACCTTGCTTGTCTCCCCAAATGCCATTGAGCAGCCGCTCATACCTCGAGCTGCGACTCGAAGCCTGCAATGCGACAAGTGTGTGCTTTGCATCCTTGGTTGTCCGGTGGGTGGTTGCTTCCAGCTGATGCTCATCCTGTAAGATGCATTGTTTGGATGCAGACATCTGCTTCATTCAAGGTTGTGCATGTGTCCAAGCTCAGGGTATTTACTGCGTTTGCATCAGTAGTGGATATGGCATCACTCGATTTCTACATCGCATTCTCGTTGCTGTCGGGACCTGCTGCTTCAAGAACTCTGGGCCGTCTTGCGCAACGGGCTGTCCAAGATCACATCTGGTCATACATTCAGCCAATACATCCCTGATCTCGACTGGAAGACTCTGAATGGGGGATTCCCACTCTCTCTGACCTTCAGTCACCTAATCTCAGAGAGATCACTTCCGGCAAGTCATCACCAGATGACCAGATTCTCCCTCAAGTGTTGGCCATCTTAGAAGTCGACGCATCCAATTTCATCCAATTTCGACTGGGAGCATCCACTGGTATTGTATGGGCTCAACTTGCTGATCGCGACACAACTGTTGATGTTGCTACTGCCCTTCTGCACTGTATCTCAGCTCGAGCTACTTGGAGGCATCTCCTGGACAACAGGATAGCTCTGAAACTTGCAGCCTTCTCCCCCAGCCCTGATTCAGCATTGGGCTTGACCATGCTGCTGGATGTCCTGGGTCAATGCACGCGACTTTGATCCCTTGATCCCTTGATCCCTCTCATCTCTTACGGCCTTGACTTGCTGAGCACAGCAAGACTGGCTACGGCATTGAAGCCATATGTGGCCATGAGCCAGCTCCAGCTGCTTGGGAATGTATCATGGGCAGATCTTTTGAGGGTGGCACCAGCGCAAAGCGAGTCAATCGTGGAGCTGGTCTCTGGTGCAGGCGCGCACTCTATACAAGGTGCAGATTACACCGGCGACGCCACTCGCTACATTGCCGGGCCTTGTGTGTTACTTTGTGTCCCAGATGCAAGCAAAACAGGCACATGGCCCATACCGCATTGCAGCGTACTCGCAGTCATCCTTCCTTCGTCTGCATAGAAGTTGCTTGGATCCTGGAGGCAGATGGGGAGCAAGTTGAGCAATCATGCCCGCATATAGTATTGCGTAGTCTACCATTGTATCTCCCATATTAGTATCGTATCTCCCATATATCTCAATAAATTATCTAGAATGAATAAGAGGCGGCCGCGGCGGTGGAAGGGGACGTAGCTCCAATGGACCTGGATCATTCAGATATGGGTCAGGAACTAGCGACAATGGAGATTGCCCAAACAAGGGCGGTGAAATGAACAAGTGACAGCGCACACCAGAGAGTGGGTGATGCAGCACGGGTTTGGCCCAGGGCGGAGTTTGAAAATGGGCGACGAGCACAGCCCCCTCCGTCTCCAGAGGGGGGAGCCGTCACCCCGATCACGTAGAGAACTGAGGTGAGTTGCTCGCGATCATGTGGAATCATCTCTAATCTAATCTCCCTAAAATCAGATGTGACGGGAAATGATGATCGATCGGTCTCGGTGTGCATCCAGGATCATCTGGCATCATGGCAGCGCTCCAGGACGAACCAGCCCGCACAGAGGATATCATCAAGGAGCAGCAAGATGAAAATGGAGTGCCAGGAGATCTTGGGCCGGAGGAATCACCTCGCCTCTCGAAAAACGCGATGAAAAAGGCTGCACGTCGGGAACGGGCCGAGGCGGTGAAAATGGAACGACGTGCGCGCGAAAAGGCCAGCCGCAAGGAAAAGAAACTCGCTATTGCTGCGAAACGTGCTGCGGGAGAACTAGACGAGGAAGATATGCCCAAACCAAAGAAGCCGAGGATCGTCGGGCCACCGTTTGGAGGGAGAGTTGTTGTGGATCTTGGGTTCGACGAGAAGATGACTGAGAAGGTGCGCTTTCCCTTTCATTGGATCCTGCGGCTGAAACAGGCTATCGTTTGCCCAGGAAGTCCAGTCCCTTTGTTCGCAACTGGCTTACACCTATAGCGCCAACCGTCAGGCTGGCAACCCCTTCAAGCTTCTGTTCACCGCTATCAACGGTAAAACCAAGGTGCGGATGGACAGCTTGAGTGATGGTGCATATCAACGATGGAGTCACACGGAATCGTGGGAGGAGGGATACGAGCGTTTATGGGCGGAGGATCCAGCCGTGAAGGACACTGTGGTGTATCTGACCGCGGACTCTGATGTCGAGTTGACCGAGCTCAAGCCGGACGAGACTTATGTCATAGGTGGAATTTGCGACCATAATCGATTGAAGGTCCGTGCAGTCCGTCTCGGTTGCGCTCAAGCTGTGCTCACGCGAAAGGAAAAGAATGAATGCTACAATAAAGCTACCGCTTCCGGAATCCGACATGCCCGACTCCCCATCGGCACATACCTGTCTGAGCTACGCACTCGTAAAGTGCTCACTGTTAACCAGTGCTTCGAGATTCTCGTCCAATGGGTGGAGACAAGGGACTGGGAATCTGCATTCTATGCCGTCATTCCAAAGCGCAAGTTCGAGGAACATTTCAAAAACAGTCAGAAAGATCAGGACCCTGCGCGAGAGGAACCAGCCGACGAGGACGAGGTACACGACGAGGGCAAGCTTGTTCTGAGCATCGAACAACTGGAGGAACCAGAAGTAGAAACATAAGATCATCACATATGTTGTCCGCCAAGAAACAATTGTACAACTACAACAGTCAGTGGATCTGGACCCATTGCAGATGCACCATCTATACATACTGTCTACATGAAGTCGTCAGCATTCGACCCGAAATCGTCGAGTGCCTCATCGTATGCACCGGTATCCACTCTGTCAACGGTTCTTGAGATGGGTCCTTACCTTAAAATAGGAAGAACGCACCTGCTGTTCGCTTTTGCTGCACCGAGAACAGGCTTGTTCGACTTGACTTTCTTCTTCCCACTGGCCTTGTCCCTCTGCTCCTTTTGCTTCTCGTTCGACAGCGCTGTCAATCCACTCGCGACTTTGCGCACTTCAACGTCCTTGAGAGGTTCACAAAGATCGCGAGCAAACTGCTCTACAAACGCGGTGTAGAGCGGTTTGGACTGATGGCGCTTGATGATGACTTCTATTATCTGGTTAGAGAGCTTGACAAATTCATCCTTTGTTCGCGGCTGAACGGAGATGAGTGAATCGAGCTCGACGGAAGAGGTGCCTAACATCAAGATTTCTGTCAGCCCTTGGTAATCCTTGCCGAAGGAAAGTGCCAAACCTCCGAGAGCAGCAGACCCGAAGAGTTCAGCTGCGTTATTGAGATCGGCATTGAGTTCTCTTTCCTTGTCTCGGCGCGCTTTCTCTCTTGGATCAAGCGCGAGATCGGAGTCGTAATCATCATCCGTGCCAGCCTCTAGTCGCGCAACTCGTGCTGCTTCTTTCTCCGCCAGTTTCTGCTTTATCGTGCCCTTTTTCTTGGGTGGCGCGGAAGATTTCGCAGGGGCAGGTTTTTCTTCATCGTCGCTGGAGGCATCCCAGTCGCTCTATCTTATCTCAGAGATTGGGCGCTGTCGGATACAAGATATACACACAGCTGGTCCATTATCATCCTCGTCTTCTCCATCCCATTTTGCATTTTTCTTCACGGGAACGGGCGCGGACGGTGCGGGTTTGCTAGACTCGTCGTCTGATGCGTCTGCGATTTGCCCAATGAGACTGCGATCCTTGAGGCACGACTGGAAATCGACAAACCCCAGTCAGACATCTGCGAAAAAGAGCGACTCGAGATTCTGCGAATTGAGGTATGAGAGGAGTGGTCGTGTGTCGGCTCAAGACTCAGATGTAGCCGTTCAGTGTCCAGGACAAGTGCAGAGGACTGTTTGGTCATGTGTGGAAATTTCCGAGCCTTTCGTCAATGTTCCGCTTCTGATCCAACATAGCTCAAGATATCTGTGAATCGACTGAATACGAGGACTTCAGAGCCAAAATAGCTTGTATTTCATGAGATGATACTCGTGGAACTCCGCGATCCAGTCTCTCAGTCACTTTCCCTTGTCATATCAATCCTCCGGAATCTCAATCACCGCTTCTTTTTGGACATCTAGCGGCTTGATTCGCACGGTGATGGGATCCTCATCATTGGGAAGATCAAGGGCATGAGAACTCGCCCTCCGCGCGATTAAGACCACTACAGCATAGCCAGAACTTCCTTCCGGCCGGCCTCTCAGTTTTCGTCACTTGGTCTCTTGGAAATGTTCCTCCAGTTTCGGGCGTCGAACGGTTTCTGATCGCTTTAACTTGTGGCATCTCTGCATTCAAGCTGCGCCAGTGCGCGCGCCGTTGTCCTGATCGGGGGAGGAGTGTCGGACCGCCTTGACTCAATCGCTCTCATTCTCTTTGCGGAATCGACCTCAGATGCAGGTCATCTTCGAGTTCGCCTCAAAGCCCACCGCCCAGAGTCTCAGATTTCGCTGCAGGAGAGGCACTTTCCCCTCAGAAGCATGTTGGCTTTGTACTGTCAGATCGGTCTGTGTCTCGCCAGATTGTTTGCTGAGACAGGTTTCAGCTTCATTAGATCGGAAGTTACACTCACAACGCAGTGGGAGTATATTTTGGCATTCAACCGACTTGGGCATGAAACGAGTTGTTAAGTGCAGTAGTGGAAATTGAGAAACAAGCAATCCGAGGCAGCCCCGTGTAACGCCCAATAAGATGGTGGTCCCGCTTCAAAAGAAGGGGACGAACCCGCAACGTCCGCATCGCCTGAGTTCTTGGCGATCGTAACACTTGACATTCGAGTATCGTTGCACAGGAGCCTCTTCGTATTTCTTGGGTCATCCTCTATCCTATCGTCCACGATGAAAAGATTGAATGGAGTTGGTGATGGAAAACTAAATACAACAGTGTCAGACGGTGCACTGCCTGGCTACTTTTCTTCTCTCTGTCTTGTTACATCCCCATCCCGGTGTGATCGCCGGTCCAACTATCTAGAATCGTGAATAATGTCAAGCTAAATGAGAGGAAAACAGACCAGGTACTCAGGCACCACTGGACGCGGCTTTAGAACGCGTGCAAAGTAAGGCGCAACTTGCGGCAATTGTGACCGCTCCGTCACGTGTCCGTTACGATACGCGTTACTTCAGGCTAAGACTCCAACTGTATCGTATAAGTATGTGTACCTCCAGACATACACTATACGGATACGGCTGTAAAACGGTTACTTAACGTGTAGAAACATATATACACGGATGCACATGGTCGTTTTTACTGCACTGAATTCATTAGATTGTGGTATGTACTATGTAGCAATTCACCCAAGCTACCTACGGCTTCACATACCCATCACGGATCCACATCTTCACTAAATTGCCTGCATGATAGTCTCTGCTTTTAGGTCAGTTTGCATCTCACAGCAGACATGTCTTGACTGAGAGAACAATCTTTCGACGGAAACACTTGCACCGGGAATATGAAGAAAGTCCCTAGCCATGCGTGCTGGGACTGGGTATTCGTGAGCATTTTTCTGCACAAAAGTATCACAGTCACCATTGTTGACAAGCGGAAGAGTCACATACCTTCCAGAACTCAACCAAGGCGTTGATAACTCCCAGACTATGCTCTTCGAGATCCATACATCATGTTGGCAGTGTTCGAAGCGGCCAGACGGCGGCTGGTCACCTTTGTTCGGTCTTTCTGGCGCTCGACTGTTTACATAGTTTTACATGCTGGAGGAATACATGATCATGGAACACGTGCATAAGATGCCCATCCTCTCTCTACTCGGACGGGGCAACCAGGACTCCGCGGTAACGCATCTTCCCCTCTCGAAGACGTGCCATTCCCTCCTCGACACCGGCCTTGGTCATCGGAAAGCATTCAACCATCGGCTTGATATGATTGCGGGCGGCAAAGTCGAGCATGGATTCGTGGACAGTGCGGCTGGCCACGGCCGTCCCTTGGATCGTGATCCCCCAAGTCAATACAGGTGTAGAAGGGATGACGAGATTGCCGTCGGTCACAGTCAAGGGGAAGATTCCACCCCTGGGTCGCATGATGCGGATGTAGCTAGCTCACGGTGAGTGGTGCGAATTCAGAGAAGCAAATACGGAGAGCTCACGGAGTCCAGTCTGGTATAAAGCTTGTCGTGATCAGCAGATGATCCAAGGGCTTGACGCCCTCGAACTTGGAGAGACCTTTTGTCGCATGGAATTCCGACGCGCCCAGTCGCATCGCCTCTTCGCGCTTGTTGTCTGTACTGGAGAAGACGACAACGGCGGCGCCCATTTTGGAAAGGAACTCGATCGCCATGTGGCCGAGACCGCCGACGCCGACGACCCCAACACGCTCCGTCGGGCGGAGGTTGTATGTTTCGATGACTTCGAACACGGTGGCCCCGCCACACATCAACGGCGCAGCGTGTTCTGGCGCGATTTCCGGGGGGATAAGAAACAGGAATGACTCGTCCCACACAGCATTCGAGCCGAACGAGCCTTGGTCGAAGTGGTGTGTGCCATACATCTCTTTGTCCTCGCAGTACTGGTCGTCGCCTGCCACCAACATCAGTCGCTTGTCAGCATATCGACCACGCAAAAGCCATGCTCACCCAAGAGACATTGATGGCACTTTCCGCACGTCTTATGAATGTACCCCCATCCAACGACATCCCCAGTCTTGAATTTGGTCACCGAGTCCCCGATCTCTATAACCTTCCCGACTCCCTCATGGCCAAGGACCATATCGCATGTTTTGAAGTGCTCGTCGGTCCCACAGATGCCAGAGTGTGTGATCTTCACGAGGACCTGGGTTCCCTTCGGGGGGTCGCGCTGGACTTTCGCCTCAACAATGGCACCATCCGCAGATCCTTTGAAAACAGTAGCTTCGATCGACATAGAGACCAGAATAGAGCTGGGTGCCGCTTCCGGAGTTGAGATTACGTCGGCGACTAACTTTTACCCTGGCTTTATAGTCTCCGAATGGTGGCTGTGGATCTCCACTGTGCGAACTAGCGCATAAGCCCAATGAGGGGCATGCCCGCTGCAGACCGCAAATGAATTCTGAGACCAAAGAAGCACCAGAGTCGCGAATGGGATATCGATGAATCTTCTTGTGACGAGTGTGTTTCGGTCACCGGGTACTGACATACCCAGTCGCTAAAGATAATCATCGGGGGTGCGATGTCAGGTCTCCTTCCCCGTGTCTTCAATGACGCCGTGGATCCCCGGGTCGCGGCGCCCGACATGCGAAGAGACAGTGAAATCCATCAAGAAATTCTGTTGTTGGCAGCCAATCTCGAAGGTGATGAGTAGAGGCCTGAGGGACGAAGAACCAGAAAGCATACGTTCGCACGGTAAACATGGACAAACACCTCCTGCGATCTCAATTTGGAAATTATCAGCATCCAGTATTGACTGTCTCGAAAGAGATCATAGCGGGTCGATCTGCCAAGTCAAACTCTTTCATAAAAGGTGCTAAAAGGCGCTGTAAGGGCACGCCTATCAAATAGCGTGTCACAGAAGAATCCAATGAATAGTCGTGTCCTGAGGTCCCCGTCAATGCCGTGCCATATCCTGTACGTATTCACACCGAGCAGCCCTTCAACCATTTCCCGTACAGTCCCGCAGCCTTGATCTTCTCCACAGACTGCGTGATCTCGTGCCTCTCGGTCACGCTGGTCTGATCGGCATCACCCAATATGATCCTCTGAGCCTCGTTCGAGCGCTGCAACAATTCCAGCCTCAGTTTCCTGCCCAGGATCTCCCGCTGTATTTGAAGAAGTAGATCGTCCAGGGTTGCGTCAATGTGCGAGATCCTGAGCGCGCTCCCGCTGTTGTGCTCCAGGATACGATCACGCTCGGCAAACAAGGCCTCGACGCGCGAGGCGAATGACTTCTAGGACGATGCTCGGCAATTTCCTCTCTTCTACACCCATCAACGAGACGAGCGCACCGATTGAAACCCGAGCGACTCCCCCTCATCGTTGTTCTCCGACTGCACGACACTTCCGGCTGTGAGCGACCTTTGGCGGTGTCTTGCCTCGCGCACACGTAGCGAATTCTTTATACGGACTGGGCGAGACTTGCGTCCGGTCATGGCGTGCAGCAGTTGTGGCTGGTGAAGAGAGGCGACCACCAATAGGAATCACGTGTGGATTTGAGAGATCGGCAAGGCTCTGGTCTGTAGCAGCGAGATATGAGGAGAAGGGCAGACGGATAGCTTCAAAGGGTGTTTCTTGGCAGACATTTTTGAGGTGGAACGTTGCATCGTGTCCCATAGATTACGCTCCCAGCAATTCTTCTTGAGTACAGCAGATCGATTCTCCAGAAAGCTGTTCAGAGGCGAATCAATTGAGGTAGAATACTGAATTGTATGAAGTAAGAGGGGGTGTGGACAGAGAATGTGCATTCAACTTGGACTTTCCGATTCGCGAATGAGCGGAGTCAAGAGTATCATAAAGTTTGAGAAGGACCGTTCTGTTGGCACGTGCTTCGCGGGCGGCCAGACTCCATTCTCTGTGGTCGCGATGCCAACACAATATATAGAGAATATATGCCCTGGCGGCATTACAATACATGGACCACAGAGAAAGGAGCCGCCTAACATGATGAGCATAGCGCCCAACCTGTAATAAGTCAAAGCAGTCACGAGCTGTCGTAGCATGGCTATGCATGGCCACGTCTTGTTTTGAGAAAACCCTATTGACCCATGTCGCGCAAACACATGACCTTGACAGATCAGTGATGCCACGTGATCAGCGCTTTGCGTCAATGATCGAGGGACTTTATGAGCGTTTCGAGCCTCGCGCGCCATAAGATTGGTTAGATAAAATAGGATGTTGTTGATCCACCTTGATCTACCAAGCTCCGCTTGTCTGCACGGCTCCCATTCAATCCCCAAACGGACCTCCAAATCTGACCTGTCTCTGTCATGTGCTGATTGTCAGCAACAACTGCAGCTAAATTTTGCCCGATCTTTCATTGCTTCCAGCCCGCAACAATGAAGTCAGATGCATCATCTTCTTTCTTCTCCCAAATCTGTTCCTTGCCCTCCTCAATTCCGGTGCTTCTCACCTTTTTGTCTCAAGTGCTTTTTTGTCTGCCTCGCAACACGGACAACAGTGAGATTTGATTTTCGGTCCCCTGCTGCAAATCAGGCTCGTCAATTTACCGGTGTGAGGTCGATGTGCTTGCGGCACTTGTTGCATCATTTTTGAGACATGTTAATGTGTCCGGACACATGTAAAGATGGAAGTACTATGGAAGTCAAAGCGGGTTTTAGCTCTCACGTGCTCCCTGATGTTCCCACAAGGAAAAAACAAACAAGATGTAACTTATCACTCTTATCTACTCTTATTCTATCCAATCTTGTTGCGCACGGGGCCCGAAACGCTCACGAAGTCCCTCGATCAGTGACGCAAAGCGCTGATCACGTGGCATCACTGATCTGTCAAGGTCATGTGTTTGCGCGACATGGGGGGGTCAATAGGGTTTTCTCTTGTTTTCGACCACCTCGTAACTGATACCTAGATCTTGGTCGACGATATCTTTGCATCCTGACACACACTTGTGCTCTCTTTTCCCTCAATCCTCGCCTGGAGGTCGGGAAAACCTTGCTGCATGTATTCTTCGACGGATCTTCGACATGGGCGCCCCGCTGGCTCACCCCTTTTGTCTGCTCAATATTCGACTCAGGTGATACTTGTCTTACGCATCCTACAGGAACGCAATAGGAGCTGGCTTGGATGCAGGGCTATAAATCCAAGATCTATTCGCGTTTCCTCTGTCAATGCGAATTATCAAATACCGTTTTCACTTCCACAAAATGACCAGTATCAACGCGACCTACTTCAAAGGCTCTGAGAGGTCGGGCATCGTCGAGACCCACGCGACGCGCGAGCCACCCAAAGGCAAAGAGGTGCTCATCAAAATCACGCACTCGGGGATCTGCGGGACGGACGAGCACTACAAGACGGCGGACATGGTGCTCGGGCACGAGGGCGTCGGGAAGGTTCTGCAGGTCGGGGACAAGGTCACTCGGTTCAAGGTCGGGGATCATGTTGGGTGGGGTTACATCCACAAGACCTGCGGCACATGCCACGAGTGCATCACAGGTGCGCGTCAATTCGGAATCTTTTGCCAGTCGCGAACTGACGTCGTTGTCAGGCGAAGACCAGTACTGCCAGAATAAAGAGATGTATGGCACGCACAACTTCCATCAAGGCTCGTTCGGGACGCACGCCATCTGGGAAGAAACGTTCCTCTTCTCCATCCCCCAGGGGATCGCACCGGAGCACGCTGCTCCTCTGATGTGCGGCGGCGCCACCGTCTTCGAGGCTATCGAGAAGTACAACATTCGACCGACTGAACGTGTCGGCGTCGTGGGCGTTGGCGGTCTCGGGCACCTAGCGATCCAGTTCCTTCGCAAGATGGGCGCAGCCGTTGTCGTCTTCTCCTCCACGGAAGGCAAGCGCAAAGAAGCCATGAAGCTGGGCGCGACCGAGTTCTACGCCACCAAAGGTGTGACCAAGTTCGAGAACGTCAAGCTCTTGGATCATCTCTTGGTGACCACGAATTTCGTGCTTGACTGGGAGCCGTGTGTGGTTTTGTTTCTTGTTGTCGTGCATCTGCTCATTTGTTCTGCCGTAGATTCTTCCCCATCATCCGACCGAAAGGCGGGATCTTCCCCTTCACCGTGGCGAATAAGCTCGAGATCCCTGCCATGCCGATCATCCTGCGCGGGATCGCCATCCAGGGAACGGTTGTCTCGGGTCGCGCCGTCCACGAAGCGATGCTGGAGTTCGCTGCCCGGAACGACGTTCGGCCTGTGGTCGAATGCTTCCCGATGACCCGCGCTGGAGTCGAGGAAGGAATGACCCGCCTCCGCGATGGCAAGATGCGATACCGGGGAGTGCTTGTTGCCCAGTAATCTGGCGACCTCAATTGTAACATCACATTCTGTATGAATAAAGTGATTTGTACTTTTGTACCATTTCGATGGCGAGTTGAGTAGGCTTTTGAATCGTTTTATAAAACCCTTCAGTCGCCATTATGATTCACTAGGCCTTGGACCTATCTCAATGGTATATAATACCAGAACACGATTCAATTGGAATGGTAGCGTAAACGGAACTACAATTTGCTTTTCGAGAGAGAGAGAGAGATGGTAGTCCAGTTATAATAGTATAGCTGTGCGCGAAAACCGAAACAAAAGCTGGGAAAACAGGATAGACTGTGCATAGACTGTGCAAGGTAGCGAGACAATAAAGCGGCATCGAAAAAGTCGTAAAACAGCGCGAAGAACCGCCGAGTCGGTTCCAATTATTCGAATGAGCGAGCCGGGAGTAGAAGGGCCGAATATAAGTGTAAGGCAGATTACAATGTTCCATTCCATCCGAAGGGTGGCGCGAAGATGAAAGCAAGGATCGTGATATCATTCGTTCAAGGCGACGGCGTCCGTCCCATGGTCAGCCGAAACTGCACACTGCCGCCGCTGGAGGCACTGTCTCCGCTCGTGCTCGCATTTTCCATCAGCGGACTTTTCAAACTCCAAGACCGGTCTGGGACATCCAGCTCCCGCTCCCGATCCAAATTCAGGCTGGCAAGCGTCCCATTCAGGTCGTGCATCGCGTCGAAATCTTCGCTTCGCTCGCGAGCTGGCGGCCCAGAAGTCGGCCGCGAGATCGGCTGCTGCTGGCCGGAGTAACGGTTGTACGCCGGGGGACTACCGGCAAACCCGCCTCCACCATAAGCTCCAGTCGGAGATCCCGACGCTCTTCCATTTCCATGAGGAGGCTGGAAGAATGGGGGGCCACCGAAAGACTGGCTCGAAAGTCCTCCCATGCCACTGTAGCCAGTGCTTCCAGCATACGAGTCGCGGCGCTTCCCCAGTAGATCTGCAGCGAGGGTTGTCCCCTGCTGCTGAGCACGATTCGGATCCGGCGAGAACGGCGAGAAGGTGCCTCCTCCGTTGGCAGAAGTGATCTCGTAAGAAGATCGGGGTGGATATCCGAATGCCAAGCTGCCATCGTCCCGCCGCATCTTCAGACTGTCCTCCGTATACGCAGGCTGCTGCTGGTTTGCATTCTGGTATACATCACCGCCATTTCCAGACTGGCCGTTGGAAGGCAGACCCTGAATGCCCAACTTTTGCAAAAGCAGGATGGCCTGTTCATGTGTCAAGCCGTTCAGCATGGCTGGCGTCATCCCGTTCGGTCCATTTGAGACATTAACATTGGAGTTGGATGCCAGGCTCGCTGTAACAGATGGGGCTGGTGGTTGGGGTGTACTGATCGGCTGCAGGTTCGGAACTTGAGTTGGGGTAGAGGAGGCCTGGAGAGCAGCACTTTGGGCAGCTTGGGCAGCAGCCTGAGCAGCTTTATCTAATTGGAAAATGAATACTTGAATCGTCAAGGAGACCTGGCCCGACGCACATTGACTTCGTCCCCAACTCAGTCTAATCCGGCTACCCCCAATGTGGTAACCCTGCATTTTCTCGATCGCTCGTTCTGCATCTGCTTTACGAACAAATTGAACGAATCCGCAGTGCTTGCCGACCGGGACTTTGACCTAGACATGCCGTCAATTCAGTTACCGAGAGTACAAAGAGGTGACGCACGTAATGTATTTCTCCGAACGGCATAAAGAACGACTTGAGTGTGTCCTCTTGGATAAGCGGGCTCAATCCACCAACGAACACAGTGGTATTATAAGGATCAGTGCTGGTGAGTTGCTCGCCATTAGGGCCGATCATGTGTCCCAGAATGGCCCGTGCTTGTGCATGATGTTTCCACTCCTCAGAGTGGCCATTGGAGGGACCACCGCCATACGAATCGAGGGAACTGAGCGGGGGCTGATAATATCCTGGGGTAGACACGCCTGGAGTATGTGACTGAGGCGACAAAAGATTGCCGTCTGATGAGGCAGAAACAGACGTGGGAATGGATGATACACTGGGGAAACTAGTCATGCTCGAGCTGCTGGTCGTGTTCGATGTCGTCGAAGGACTGGGCTGGATCGTAGCGAAGTCGGGGGTTGGCCCCGGAGGGGGTTTGAATTTAGCCGTGGCCGGAGAAATGCGCACTGTGAATGTTATGCTTGACACTTTCCAGATGGCAATGTCACTCACTCGGTCGGGATAGACAATATAATCCATGCATTTCAATCAGGGCACGCTGCTGGTCCGATTCATCCGTGAACCTGCGAAAGATGAGTATATGCCCACGTCGAAATCCCGAACAGACTGCACCTGACAAAGCCATAGCCGCGACTGACACCAGTAACGGGATCCAACATGATCTTAGCACTTTTGCAACTGACAAAAGGCCGAATGAATTTCGGCGCCCTGTCATTGCGCAAGCCGAGGACCGGATTCCGAAAGACCTGCCCCAAGTGTCAAGGAAGCTCCCGCCCGCAAATCGGACAACTACGCACAGCCACCAAATCGCTATTAGATGTCTCTGGAGCCAGGTCGCCCACAAAAATGCTGTACTCGCGTGGATACTGTGGGGGCGGCTGCTGTTGATTGGGCGACACCCCAGGGGCAGCGGCTTCTACAACGGGCGATGAAGGTCCATTGTAAGTGAACCCCGAGACAGGTGCCGCAGAGCTGTGAGAGGTTGCAGGCGTGGTCGAAACCATCGACCCATTGATATTGGCAGCCGATGATCCCAGTGGTGGTGCAGAAATAGCTGCTGCGATCCCCGTCGGCGCCCAATTAAGTACAAAGGGTCGAGAGGAGTTCGGCATAGTCATCACTTGATCACCGGAAGCGTTTGAATGCGTGATAGTGGGGGCGGAGTGCGACGGTGTTTTGACCTATAGCCAGTGTCAATAACGAGCAGTCCGCATATATGCAACAACCACGAGCCTGTGTCAGTGCAGCAGCGGCAGCGCCCGGCGAAGAAAACGTCAAAACACAGAAACCCGCGTTCAATGGTGGGACGTCAGTCGGAGGCGGGTTGATGTTGAGGCGGATGCCCGCCAATGCCAATTCATTAGAGCCGGCCAATGGCACCCGCACGGCCACATCCCACCGCAGCAGCGTGCACACCTGACGCACATACTCGGCGTCCATCCATATCTCCAAATCCGTCCAGAGAAGCGTCGACGAGGGCTGGGACTGTGCCGATGGCTGGGAAGACGCATGGGATGTGGGTCGGAGCTGAGCCGTCATCGGAGGCGGGGAGGTGACGCTCACGACGGAACTCGTACTCGGGTTTGAGATATGCCGCGACTGATGGACCGGCTGAAAATACGCGACGTGAGGGGCGTCCCAGGCAGTGGCGTGGTTGGGGGTGTTCGGGAGGTGCTGGTGTTGATTCTGAGGCGGAAAGGCGCTATATGGCGTTTGATTCTGGAAGGCATATGCGTAGTCGGACATCGTCAACGTTCGTTCCGCGTTCGTTCCCGCCGTCTAATCAACGAACGAGAGGGAAAACGACGGGCAAAAAGGGAAGAGGAAAAGGAGAGGGAGAATCGAAAGCAGCAGGGACAAACAACGAGAGCGACAGGGGCAGCAGTGGACAGGCAAGCGAAGAGCGAAATGCGAATTTCAGGGGCCGCCTGCGACAACGATGGCGAGAGCGAGAGGAGGCAGGTGGGAGGAAAGAAAGGGAGAATCGATTATGCTTCGACTTCTGTCAGCAACATAAGCAAAATACACCAAGACGCAACCCTCGCTTGATTCGCTCCCCCAACCTAAAAGTCTATCCACGCGTACAAGCTGCAGTCCACGATCGCCTATTGATAGCCTGGATCAAGGGTGGATGTAAGACTTAAGTTCCGCATCCCCAATAGTCGAACAATGGGCGGCGAAACATTAATTGCCATTGATCCCGAGATGGCTAAGTTACCTTCCAGGCGTCCCTCCACCATGAAACGCATCGTTTTCTTTGCCGGCAAGCTAGTCTAGTTGAGAGCTCGGAGGCAGTTTGGGGCCTCGACGATCTGGAGCTTGGAGGCAAGGGGGAGCATTATCGCTCAGGAACCAACAATTGGGGACGATCATTGACGTCAAAGCGAGCATCGTCGTTTCACATTCAGCATCAGTTTGGTCCACTCACTTGAACGTTTTGAGCATCCGTAGGCTTTTCGTTAGTCCCTCTGAACCTACTTTGAACAGGAGCGAGTGGGCTGGTCCAACTTCGCATCCCGCAAAATCTTGCCTGGCTCGCGAACCGCGACGAAATCAAATTCTTTCGGCAATGCGGTGCATCGGAAAGAACTAGGCGCCAAGGGGCATTACTGCTCCGACGATCTTCCAGAAACCCGTCGAACCTTTTCCCAACAGCGATTGCAGGCGGTGGAGACTCCCAGTGGGCTTCGATTTCTCCCCTACTGATTCGTCGATCGTTGAAGAGTTTTGATGATGTCGAGAGTCTTGAATTCAATTCTTGTTTTCGGGCCACTGAATGATCCAACTTATAGTTGCCGCTTGCGTCAGTGCCCTGCCAATCCTATCTGACTAAGAGGCAGTGGTGAATTGGAGCCGCAGCTGCGCCTGGGCTTACAAAGGTTCCCCATCTCCAGACCATCGTCCCACAAAAACACATCTTTCAAGACGACAAATGGATTTGGACACAGGATCGTGGCCCCGCAGGGGAGAACAAACGTAAGGCTTAGTCGCAGCCAGGCCGATGCTTGTCAGTCATCCGAATGTCATCTGAACGCCTTCGCTCTTCTTGAAAGTCCGCAAATGCAGGACAAGCGGTCCAAGAAATCCTTTAGGGTTCAACGTTGAAAGCAGAGAGCAAGTGACGTGGGTAAGTGTGGGTCCGTGTGGATCCGAATTGGCTTGCCGATCACCTCTGCTTATCTCATGCGATTATCGCACGCAATATACTCGTGTAGGTAACTATTCTTGAGAGCGTACAGCCGGTGGACATTCCCTCACTCGGATATATCAGGTCCATCAACACTGTTTATCTATCTTGCATGGATCTGATCTTGGAACACGCGGATTCTGCAATAAATACAGGAAAGATTATACAGCATCGCCCCAACCGCCTTCAGTTTTGCCCCACACTTCTTCAGTGTTGCCCCAAGGAGGGACCTCGTTCTCCTCATCATCTTCGTGAGCCGCCAGAATGGATATCGCGTCGTTTTCGTCCCCACGGTCTTCCGTTACAGACCCGTCCCAAGAGTCATCGTCGCCGTCGTCAGCACCAGTGGATGAAAAGCTGTCGCTTTCCATCGGCTCATCCAAGTCATGGCCGGGAATCCAACCCGGTGGAATCAGATCAACACTTGTGTCCGCCTCGTTCCAAAGCACCGGCGATTCTGTCAGCCCTCCGACAAGCTCGATGGCCCAGTCGAGTGTTCCCTCGCCCCGCAGTAAACTCAACTCCTCGTGTGCCTCGACGGCCCAGATCAACACTTCCAGCCATCCACCACATAGCTTCGCCAATTCAGGTTCGAGCAGCCACATTTGCTCCAGGTTGACGAGAGCCTCGCGCGAATACTCCATTTTGGACTTGACCAGCTCTCCGATTGTGTGTATAGACTGGGGAGTAGGCAGCCGCCCAGAGCGTTCGTGCGCGCGGTGTTCGTGCTCAGCAACCACCGAGTGCGCGGGTCCCTGAGGCAGGTTGAGAGACTCGAGAACTGCTCGGGCTTGCCCGGCTTTATCCGCCAGCTTGACCTCGTCATCATCCGCGCGTTTGAACGACACCACCAACGAGGCATATCCAAGCTCTTTCTCTCTTCCCCATGGATCTTCTTCGCATGGCTGACCGACACCGCCCATTTCCTCCAGCTCATAACCCCACTCAACAGCCGACGCACGACACCAAGTCTCGAATTCGGCCACGGTCCACTCAAATTTGTGATCGGAATGCCGGAAGAGGCGGTCGGTTCTTCCAGTGGGGTCTTCGAAAGCCTGCCGGGCTCTGGTAGCACGCGAGGAGCCCGGACGCGTGAAGCGATCATTGAAAGTGTAGGAGGGTGTCGTCAGCAGGAGGCGCTTGGGATGATAGACACCGAGCAGCATCGGCGCTAGGGCAGGGAACACATCAGGAGGAAGATGCTCTATGCTACAGATATCATTAGCGAAAGTATGCGATGTTCGCGCATGCAAGATTGAACCACTCACACCTCGGTGCACACAATGCACTCTACGCCGACGAAATCCTGATTGAACACCTCCAAACCACCTTTCCATAGTTTCGCATTGAGGTCCTGCCATCGGGTGAGCGGCGCGGTGAACTTGGAGAATTCTCCATCGCGAGGGTCAGGCGGTTGAACGCCTTTGGCTGCAAACAGTAGTTCGTTCTCATCGATGTCGAGTCCAACGATCCTCCTCGGATGTAGGTCGGGAACTTCAGGTTGGTAGACGATATTTAGATTGCTTGGTAGCAGTGAAGGTGGAGGCGGAGGCAGCCAAGGCGCAGGTTGCGCTAGAACTGAAAGCAACTGGCCTTCACCGCAGCCGACATCCAGGACCTGTAAACATGACTGAGCCAAAAAGCGCTGCGCAGCAGACGGTCGAGCCACGTACGTCGACTATGCTCTCCCTACGAAGGATATCCAAGATCCAGATACGACGCTGGAGGAAGAGTTGCGGGATAAATGTGACCGGCAAACTCGGCGCGTCCGCGTAGATGTCAATCTCTTCCTCAAGGTCTCCATCATGCTCTTCGATCTCCTGGATAGTGGTTGTGGTCACAAACGAGGTAGCCATTGCGAAAAATTGGAGCAAGGATGTGGTAGAAAGAGAGTACAGAAGGGCATTTTTAGTAAGTGAGAACAAGGTTCTGAACGGGCATGAAGCAACGTGGTTTGATCTGCCTCGAGTCTTGCGCACTACGATCGCGCCGCTTAGATCGCCAATGTACAGCTCATTTACAACAAGAAAGTACGACGTTCAGCTCAGCCAGGTCGTCCACTGACTGTCCTTGCCCTCAAGCGTCAACGCAATTTCCCTCGCCACAATCCTGTCTGCTTGTTCACTCGGATGAAGCTCATCAGCCCTGGGTGATGGGATCAGCACGTCAAGCAATGGCAAAATGGCTTGGGCGCACCATAGGAAACTGTCCCGATCGGTTCCATGGGCGACTGTACAGTTCAGAGTGCCACCGCCGAGGGGTGCAACGCAGGAGTTCCAGCATCCTTTCCCTAATAAGTACGCATGATGTGGCCTACGAGAGAATGCTCACCGGTGACATTGAGAGGAGCTGTTCCATTGAGATACTTGGCTGGATGGTCGTACATATCTTGGAACAAGGAATGTGAGTCAAAGAGAGCTGTTAAAGCGTATGAGTGGATTGAGCAAATCGTAAAAGCCCCATATACGTGCCAATGTGCGCATCCTTGAGTGTCGGCGCCAGTGCCTGGAGCATCAATTGGGTCATTCTGTTTCCAGACCGAGTCATTTCCATCATGAGAATGCTCCATTCTGTTGTGTTGCGCTCGAATGCCCAAAATCGGTTCGGATAGGAATTCGCATTGTACAGGATGGTAAGCTCCAGCGGGATCATCTTCTTGATGTCAGACGGTCCTGACAAAGGACCACACATGACGCACATTTTGGAAGATAAAGTTTCTCGCTCCGTTCTGGTACAAGGTGGTGACCCAATCGACCATGCACTGTGTCACATCCACCAGCGACACGCCAGGTGTTTGGCCGCCCGTTATCAACGCAGACACACCCAAATCGTTGGTTCCAATCCAAAGCGAGTGAATCGTCTCTTCCCCAGGCAAGACGAGGGAGCCATTGGACGTCTCGGTGAGATACAGAGGGATTTGATTTCCGAAAACCGGTGGGAACGGACGGAAGGTTAGATTATTGGAGCAAGTGGCCCCGGACCTGGCGAAAGGATGGAGCGCGACTTTGGCGTAGTCGGCAACATATACTGTTGTTAGGTGCTCAGATGACAACAGTGTAAGAAGGCTTCGTGCTGCTCACCTGGCCAAGCCACGCCCTGGTCGCCTAGAGAAGGAAGACATAAGTAAAAAGTCCTGAAGCTAACGCGACAGTCGCTGCACCAGTGCTAACCACGTCCGTGTAACTGTCCCCGAATGTCACCAGATTCTTGATTTGTCCGGGTTTGACGCCGAACTTCTTGCCTTGAACCAAGACAAGAGCAGCCGCAGTGAGCAGAACCGAGGAGAGGTGTGCAAACATGTCGTGCAGCAAAGAGTTTCGCTGGTATATGCCTCCAATTTAAGTGTCCCCAGGCGATCAAATTCCAGTCATGAGATGAGCGCCGAAACGGCTTCCGAAGTTCTACCGCGTAAAACGTGCGGAGGGGAAGGCATTAAAGGAAGCCAGCATCTTGTGATGCGCGACCTTGTGATCTCTCAGGCTCGGGCCGACGCAGAGACATGTATATGTTTGGGTTTCAATCGACGGTGAAGACGCGGTGCTGGAGAACGAATACAGACAGATGGATCGTGAGGGAGGAAGCTAACAGGTCGAACAGCAACATGCGCAAACAACGCGCTCATTTCCTTTTCGACAAAGATGGCGGACACAGTGACCTGTGGTTTGTGCGATACCACGGACATCTCCCACTTCTCAAAGCTCAATCAGTTGCTTCAGATGCCGAAGACAATTCTCAAAATACACCTGCCCCAAATGCAATATTTCATACTGCTCATTGAATTGCTTCCGCTCTGAAGTGCGTGCGGTCCACTCTTCGTCGCATCAGTAAGGTTCACTCATTCCGAACACTTTGCCTTCTTCAGGCTCATTCACAATGCTCTGAAGGATTCTACAAGGCCGAACTCGAGTCGGACATCCGCTCCGGCGGTGGTCCTTCGAAGACAGCTGAGGAACGGATGCAGATGATGGAACTGCTCAAGCGTTTTGAGGAGGAGAGTGCAGCGGTTGACGAGAGTCTCACAATTGAAGAAGAAGATGACGATAATGACGAGACAGATCTATCGAAACGGATGCGCAATGTTGACATCGGTATACTCACTCTGGTGCAACGCCTCTTCATTCACTCACATTTTTCTCAGACTCGGTCCAATCGGAAGAACTATGGGCTCTGCTCACTTCCACAGAGCGAGATAGATTCCTCAAGATAATGCGAGACCCATCAAGTGAACTAACCCAGCAACTACTGGCGAGTGAAGAAATCGAGAGGGGAATGACTGAACCATGGTGGTTGCGTCCTTCAACACTCGAAATGAAGGAAGAGCTGTCGAGATTAAAACGGCCAAGAAACCAACGACAATACGGTCACCCGCCAGAACCTATTGCCATTCCTCCGTCGATGATGCACCAGAAACGCAGCAGCGGTGCACCTGCCTCCTTGATGTACAACATCTGTGCTGTGATGTGCGTCTATATATGACCTCCTCGCCTTGCATCTCCTGATACTCAAGAAAGGCTGGGTTATGCATATATCACTCGACATCTCTCCATTTCTCCGCTTTGTTCTGCTCCAGAGCTGGATCAGGAAACAGCACGGACACTGCTATCGCAGTTCGTCCCGTTCCTTACCGCGAAGACGTCGAAAATCCTGCATCTGACACTGGACAGTGCCATCACGGAGTTGCAGTCCCACCTCAACTCTGATGGGTTAACAACTCAGCTACCGAGCATCCTGTTACGCGACGCGGCAATGCTCGTCCGTCCAGCTCTCATTGTAGAGCACGGGTCTGCACACCTCAATGCGTTTCGTGCCTTGGGAGACATGCATAGTCTGTTTCAGGCCCAGATACACGTCAAACACAAACTTGCGTTTTACGCGGTTCAATTGGATCCTTCGGCAAGCTTGGTGGCTCGGGAACTGGAGAATGAAGCGCGTAGCAGGGAGGCAGAGTCTATTCCCTCGGTTGAATGGGATCGTCGATCTTTCGCTCTGCCAAAGAAAGGTATCAACATCGAAGAAGTCGAGGCGTAGAAGATTATAGTCGCAGTACATTCATCAACGATCTGATTATAACCGTCAACCCGCCTGTTAACTGAGCAGGCAAACCTACAGTTCGCAACTACCAGCCTTGACAAGCCTGACATACGGCGCTTAGACCGACAGGGACATGAGTTTGTTTACATTTGAGCACGTGGCTGAGAGGAAACACGGTCACGCGATCCACCACCTCTTGTCATCAATCCCCACCTTCCTCAAGCCCTCGACCCCGAACCGCACGACCGGCATCCTAGCACCATGAAAGTCACCATCACATACTGGCACGCCGTTGCCCAATGGCGCTGGGAGACGGCCACGGACTCGAGCTCTGGGAATGACGAGGAGGAGGACGTATGTGGAATTTGCCGAGTTGCGTACGAAGCCTGCTGTCCGACATGCAAAGTGCCGGGAGACGACTGTCCCCTAAGTGAGTGAACGCTCGGCTCTTACTCGCTTGCTATGGACGGCTGACTGCGTCGTGAAGTATGGGGTGAATGCACACACGTCTTCCATATGCATTGTCTGCTGAAGTGGATCGCAACACCTGCGTCAAAGGGGCAGTGTCCGATGGACCGAAGGGCGTGGAGTGCGTGCTCTCTCTCTCTGAAGATAGCATGAATTGCTAACCGCCCCTGTGCTAGTCACTGCTGAAAGGAAGATCAACACTCGTCCAACATGACTTGTGCTATCGCCTGGGCCCCTGATGATTTATTTAATCGATGTACTGTTGGCACTATCGCCACTATCCTGTAACAACACCTCTGTACACGTATGATTTGATGCGCTCGCATGAGACGGAAATGGTGCATGCCACTCAGGTATCAATGGTCGAGCCGGCTCTCAAGCTGGAGGAAGGAAGATGGCAGTGGACGGAAACCATGGGTGATTCAGTGCTACAAGATCAAACTTCGATGGCAACTGCGGCAAGTACTGTATTATCACACGACCTCAATCCTCCGGTCTTGCGAGCAACGCATCAAGCGTTGGCAACCTGCAAAGTTTCGTGTCAAGAACCCCGTGAGACGTGGACACTGAGCCACCGACCTTCAAAACGTGTTTCTGAACGACGGTGTGTGCCGTTCCCGGGGTGTAGGGCAGCGTCGTATCATGCGGTAGATGCAAGTCGTCCGGGACCTCGACTTCATGCTCCTGTTCGTCTGGCTTGCCATTTAGGCTGACTTCCTCGAACGGGTTGCGCAAGCTCGTAGGCGACACTGGGCTGGGGTTTCGGTCGGCAGCGGGCGTAATATAGCTAGCAAGATACGCCCCGGGCTGTTGGGCGCCAGGAACACCATAGTTCGAAGACGGAGTCGGCCCGCGATACGGGATAGGTCCGGCCGACGGTGGTGCGATTGTGACCGTGGGTGGGGCATACGGGCTGTATCCTTGTCCCTGTCCTTGCCCGTATCCTTGTCCAAAGCCGGGATTCGCGACAGCGGGCGGCGCAGCCGGGGCGCTGTAGTTATATCCGAGCTGTGGCGCACCGCGGTACTCGTGCGACGCTTGGCTCCAAGTCCGTTGCAGCGTCGCCGATTTCTCGCCCTGAACCGCCAGGGGCTTGTGCGAGTCCGGAACGAATGATATCGCGTCCATCTCCTCGTCAAGCCGGCGGCGGCGCGCGCTAACGCGGAGACGGCTGATGAAGAACCAGAGACCGGCAATGACCAGCAGGCCGACGATGGTGAAGGTCGCAGCGACGGCGCCCTTGTTAGAGAAGAAGCTGAGGGAGATGATTCGATTCAGAGCGAGAAGCGATATCATTGAATGACGCACGAGGACGGCGACGCATTCAACGCTTCGTGAGTGCCGGGAGGTGGGCCTCTAACCGCCGAGAAGGACGGCGACGCAGCCGCTGCGATGCTTGCCGAGGCCACCGACACTTTGGTAACCGTTGCAGGGCCGGACGCGGTGCTTGGTACACCTGCATCAGCTACACTGCTCACAATCGCGGGTGAAGTCGCTATTGAAGTCGCGGCTGGAGGGGCGGGGGGCACAGTCGACGTGATCGCGGCCGTGCTCGAAATTGACTTGTCCGGCACTGTACTGGTCACGATGGGAGTGGACGGAAGCACGGTGACTTGAGTCGAAGTTTCGGCAACAGCTGTCGACAGTGATGTGGACTTGGTTGTAGTCAATGCTGCTGCCGAGGTGGAAAGCGGAGCAGCAGAGATGCTGGTTGTTGCAATTGCAGAAGAGAGTACGGACGAAAGAGTGTCCGAGGGAGAGGCAGATGAGAATGTAACAGGAGTTGCAGCTGCTGTTGCAGAGCGGGAGGGAAGGATCACTATGTTAGGACTGTACACGACGTCAAGCTCCTCCAGATGCAGCCCTTTCCCCCTACGCACCTAACCATGATTGTTCCTTATCGTGATTTTACGCAGACTTGTCCTTCTCAAAACCCTAAAGCGTCGCCAACGAAGAATTACGAAATGGGAAGCGAGGCGTAACGAAACGAAAAACAGGCACAGCCGGAACGAACGAGCGAAAAGCGCACGGCGCCAATGGGCAAAAGAAGAGGATGGTGGAGGAGGTATAAGAACCAGAACAAGTGCGTTTCCACCATCTCGGCCTTGACGGCCTCGGCCTGTCAAATCCATCAAGTGATCGACGCCGCGCAGCAGACGGAGGGGCAGTGCCATGCGCTGCGACGCTCGTGTGAGATGCACATATTGACGGGAAGCCGAGCAAGGCGGCTCATGGAAACGGTGATGCCACGTCGGAAGTGCGCATGTCTTCAACATTCTTGTGATTTGCACACAAACATGGGTTTCAGAGCCCTTGACTAGAGCAGGCTAGTCCAAGCTCAGATTCTAGTGTGTACCTCAGTCAGATTTGGCATTAGTGAGACTGAAGCACAAAGCATGCGTTTTAAAGTAGATTAGCCCTTGATCTAGAAACCCGAAGCAATCCCATTCTTTCTCGAATCGCTGGCAGCTAGATCCTCTGTCAGCAGTATGCAAATAGAAAACTGGAGCACGCACCAAAGATATATCCGTCCCGGAGGGCAATGAGCTGCACGGCAGCAGCCACAGGGCCGGTCTCTGTAGATCCTTGTCATCAATAGTCCTGCGATTCCATCGAATCTGCAACGCACCACTGAGTTCATGCCCTCGTTCCTTCAACCCGTCCAACAACTCTCTGGGATACCAAGCATCTGCATCTGTCATAACGGGGAACAGCTGATTGTGCAGCCGCCCGAACTCAACAGCCGCACTCGCATCCAGATCCCATTCGAGAACGTTTAGGATGATCTGGAATACGGCACCAAAGATCCGCCCACCGCCTGAGCCGCCGATTACAAGAGCTAATGAACCATCCGCGTTTTCGATGATGGTAGGGACGGTCGATGAGAGCGGCTTTTTTCCGGGTTCAGGGTAGTTGTCTGCCGTCATTCAGCTCAGAACGGCCGAAAGAATAGAGTTTTACTCACAGGGGGAGGGCCAGAGGCCGAATCCGTTGGGAGTTTTTGGCGTACTGAAATCATCCATCTGTGTTTGGTCGTCAGGACAAGCGACGCACTGGCTGGCAACGACCGACCTCGTCATTGAGCAGGATTCCTGTGACTGGGTCCATGACTTGAGACCCGAAAATCAAGTTCACAGTCGAGGTAAGAGAGACCGCCATGCCATCCTTGTCGACCACGACAGTATGACTCTGTCAAGTCATTCAATTCGGAAAGGCAACGGGCTGCACAAAGCACCAACGGTTCCATTGTCAATCTTGACGTCGTATTCGGGATTGTAATAATCGGGAGAGTGTGTATAATTCTGGGGACAGGTCAACTTTGAAGCTACCGAAAGAGCACAATGCTGACGTCAGTGATGTTAGGACCTATCAGTGCAGCGAACTCTTTGGTGGGGATTCGGTCCATCTTGGCCGTATCGTTGATATACGATGGATCACAGACCTTCGTTCTGTCCGCATCAAAAAAAGGTATCGATTTGGCACACGCCAGTCCCGCTCACCTGGCAGCAAAACCAAACTTGATCGCTTCGACTATACGGTGTGCGTTCAGTGGTGAGCGCTCGCTGAGATCATACTGCTCAATCAGATTGAGCATGTGCAGAAGCACTGACGGTCACAAGAGTCAAAGACTGCATACATGCGCATAAAGCATACTTACCAACTCCAGAACTTGGCGTTGGGGTAGTGTAAACCTTTCGTCCGCGGTAGGTTCCTTGGAGCGCTCGGTCAATCTTGACCGAAAACCCTTCCAAGTCGGCATGCGTAAGGACACCACCAGTCGACTGGATCTTCTCTACGATCGAGTCGGCAATACGGCCATTGTACAGCGCATCTGGTCCCTCGGCGGCGATAGCAGCCAGGGTCTGGGAGTAATTGGTCCGCCGGATCGTTTCGCCCTCCTCCAGAAACCTGCCGTTGGGAGCGAAGATCGCACTCCAATCGGGGTTGCTCAGCATCACATCCGGGAACCACTGCAACGTGAGCCGGATTGATCATCTCGTTAAGGATCTCGAGCGGTCGTGCTCACAGTGATGCGTTTGGCTAATTCCGCCTGAACGGTCCAACCTTTCGCCAGCTCGATGCTGGGTTCAATCAAGCTGTGCCAGGGCAAGGTACCCCATCTGCCGCGGCATGAGACAGGCTACAGAGGCACAGTATACATACCTGTCATGTGCGGCTGCCAGCCCTCGCACCTCGCCCGGAACAGCCACACTCAGTCCGCCGAACAAACTGCTGTTCGAATACGGCGGGAACATCGTCGTGTTGGCCAGCGCAGGCGCGGTCTCGCGGAAATCAACCGTGAAGACTTCTGACTCTCCGCCCTCCTGCACCGGCGGAATGCGGACCGTCATGAAGCCTCCTCCGCCGACACCCGAACTGGCAGCGCGTCAACTCGGGGAAGCATATGCATCTTTGGGTGGAACCGAACGAACGAGAACATGTTGACCTAGCGGGCGGCTGTTGAGCGGGAGCGAGAGCGGAGAAGCGAACAGAGCATCCTCACAGTGCCTATGCAGAATGTCGCGGCCACCGCAGCGTCGACGGCGTTTCCGCCTGCGGGCGATGAGCCAAGCGGGATCGCAGGCAGTCAGAACGGAGAGGAGACCGCACCAGCTTTGAGAACACCAACACCGATATCCGAGCACAGTACATTCTCCGTGGCCACCGCACCGTGCCGTGCCTACCCCGACGCATGAGAGGCTTGCGCCGATAAGAGGACGCGAGGACTGACCTTGACGAGGTATGCCGGATTGCCGCTATCTCCCAACCGTTTCTCGAAACTGACATCTGCCTTCGTCTCGAAAGCATCGCGAATGTACGCGTAACCAACGAGCAAGAGGACCAGCAACGTGATGGACCGCAACAGTCGCGCTATCGTGAGGCGGCGGACACGAGGAGGCTGTTCATCGGGCTGAGTCTTTGTCGAGTACACCGGAAGAGCGTCCGAGTCCGAGTCCCTGGTGGGACCAAGCTTCCTGTCGAACATGGCACGAGCAAGTAATAGATGGCAAATGCCGCCCAAGGCACAAGGCTTGCTGATCAATTTCCGAACGGGATACAATGATGATGACTCATGATGAGAGCGTAAGCAGGCGGGTTATGCGCAAACTGGAGACAGACAAGATGTAAATGGCGATTCAGAGATAGATAGGTAGTATATGTACAGAGAGGACAGACGAGAGTAGAGAAACGAGGGAAAGAGACATGCTGGGGACGACAGGAAAGGAGCGACTCGAAAGGACAGGACGATAGCACAGCTACTCTACAAGACGATACCCTCTATGGGAGGTCACATGGAAGCAAATCCGGAATCACTGGCGGGACTTTCTTCCTTCTTGATCCCGTCTACACGAACGGTGGCAAAGTAGACATGGCCCGCAGCTTCTTTAGCGGTGAATCGCTCGCGGGGATCAAAGCGAAGTAGCCGATCAAGCAGAGCTCGAGCATCAGATGTGGCGAGATGTTGGTTTTCAGGGTTCAGGAATCGTGTCCATGATTTGGAAGGATAGCTTGATGAATGCAATCAGTATTCGGACTATTGAGAAAGGCAACACAGGGAACGCACTTTCCGAGCAGCTCCTGAACATCACTCTCGAAAGGAATGTCAAACGCTTTCAAGTAGGCGTCAAATTTGTCGGTGCCCAAGACCTTCATTATCTTCAGCAGCTGGTCATCATTGTCGGCTCCGCGGAAAAAGTGCTGTTTACGAAAGATCTGTGTCGTTGTCAGCTCATTAAAATGGCTACTGGGAATTGGCGGCAGACCATAGCGGCAAACATGCATCCGGCAGCCCACAGATCGAGGGAGTAATCGTACTTCTTCCAGCCAACAAGGAGTTCTGGAGGCTTATAGTGACGCGATCCGACCCGCGTGTGCAATCTGAGACAGTCGTTCAGATAAGCTCGAGTAGTCGCAGAAGGCCTTTACTCCGTGTTGGGGTGGTAGAACTCGGCCAGGCCCCAGTCAATCAGCCGCAACTGCAACGCGAATAAGCCCGGAAGCGTCGTCGCAGAAATGCCCCGCACGAACCTCGCGACGTTGATGGTCTATCATCACGTTCCCTGGCTTGACATCACGATGAATAACGCCATGAGAATGGACAAAGTCGAGAGCGGTGAGAAGCTGGAACATATAGTGCCGTATGTCTGCGTCGTTAAGATGTTGATAGAGCTGCCCCCACTCCGTGCTGTTCACATATTCCGTGATCAGGCTGTGATACGTTTTCGATGCTGCGTGGTGATGACATGAGACACATGGCTGAGTCGAGTCCTAGGCAACGCACGATCTCGGACGACATCAAGCAGCGCAATGCAGTTGGGAGCTCCGGCCAGGTTGCGCAGCACCTTGATTTCGCGCTTGATTTTATGCCCGGCGACGGGCTTCAACACCTTTATTACACATCGCTCGTTGTTGACGGTATCCACGCCCTCGAACACCTGAGACGCAGAGAGAAGCAGTTATGAAGCGTGGAAGATTGAATGGTGTGGACTTGGACGCACCTCCGAGTATCTGCCTCCCCCCAACCGTCTCACAATCTCGTACCGATCAGGCGAACTCCATTCGATGCGAAACTTGTTGTATTCGTACCACGCTTTGCCTCGGACAGCGTTAGCGTCCGCGTAGACACGACTCGTCACCCTAGACATATGTATAATATGTACAAAGGACCGGTGACACCGAGCACCGCCGACTCCCAGACGCGCCTCGTGGGTAGTGGTGGTGTAGAGCAAAGAGATGCCGTACAAACACTGCCACTGATAATCTTATTCCTCATTTGTCACCATTGTTTTCCATAATCGTCCCAGGGAACGAAGGCTGGATGAAAACAGCCGGCTTTGTGCGTGGGTGGTGCTGACAAGACAGGCTAAATTTGCGTCCCGCCATCCATCCTTCTGCAGGGTCGCCCCTTGCCGGTCAGTCGGCGGAAGGGACAGGTCCCATCTATCACCGTCACCTTCCTAGATACAGGTGCACGCGAAGGTTCATATCCGGCGCACTTTCCCAGTTCTGTTCGTCTATTTTCCAACATACTGAGTTAAAAAGCCCCGATGGAAGCTTGTAGCTCATGATAACTTCGAAGCCCATTCAGATAGATCACGCCTTTCCGTCCTTTCTTGACGGGGAATTGTCATGCAAAGATAATGGATCGCCGAATGATGCATTGTCTTTCAGGCGCTTCCAAATGTCAGATCATCAGGACCTCCGGCTGCTGAATAACCTAGACTGCCTACTTCTTGATTCGGTGCTTCGTAGCGTACCGCTTACACTTTTTCGTCCCATTTTACACGAAATAAAGTCTGTTTTGGCTTGGATTACATCGAGTGAATTATGTATTGAGCGTTTAGAAGCATTACTGACAGGCTGGTCCAAGCGAGAAATAGCGACTTCGATCACAAGCTGCTTGTCCATGTTTGCCCGATCAGAGTCATCTCCCGATATAGCATCCAAATTTTTGGACCATCACCAGCACTCGCCCAAGTAAAAACCGCGTTCAGAGCTCGCTGACATCAGAGCTGACTTTCCAAACCTAGATGGCTGAGATCCATGACCAATTCGATACTATTCTTATCCTCGATTTCGGCTCCCAGGTTCGTTCTCCCAGAACGGGTGTGTATGCAGACTGGTTCATGTGCATCCTAGTACAGCCATTTGATCACCCGACGATGCCGCGAACACAAGGTATATGCGGAGCTTATGCCATGCACGACGAAGATCGCGGATGTCAAGTTCAAACCGAAAGGTGTGTGAACCGACCAAGCTGAGCGCAGGTGATACTCATATACCTAGGGATCATCCTCTCTGGGTCGCCTTACTCCGTGTACGATAAGGACTCGCCTCATGTCGACCCTGCCATCTTCGATCTCGGTGTTCCTATTCTTGGTATCTGCTACGGTCTGCAGGTCAGCTTGGGGCCCTCTTCCGCTTGAGATAACGTTACCACCGTCCGTCGGTAGGAAATCGCCTGGCAACTCAAAGGCTCCGTGACGAAATGCGACCACCGAGAGTACGGATTCGCCCAAATCAAGCTGAAGAAGATCGGAGGCGGGAACGCGGCGACGGTGGACTCCCTGTTTGAGGGACTGGGAGACGAGATGCAAGTGCGTTGGCCGTGGCTCTCACTGGTTACTATCCTCATCATTTCTTCTCAAAGGTCTGGATGTCTCATGGAGATCAACTCTCTGCACCTCCCCCCGATTTCCATGTCATCGGTTTCACAGAAACTGCCCCTTTCGCTGCACTGGCACACAACACGAAGCCTTTGTACGGCATCCAGTTCCACCCCGAAGTGACCCACTCCCCTCGCGGCAAGGAAGTCATTGGTCGTTTCATCCTCAACATCTGTGGATGTCAGCCGCACTGGACCATGGTAGAGTGGCGTGTTGCCCATTGCGCGTTATCTGACGTTCTCCAGGAAGAATTCATCGGCAAGGAGATTGCACGCATTCGTGACATCTGTGGGCCCACTGGTCGCGTTATCGGTGCTGTCAGTGGAGGCGTCGACAGCACTGTTGCTGCGAAGCTCATGCATGAAGCCATCGGGGATCGGCGAGTCGTAGCATGCCATTATGCTCAACGGTCATTCATGCTTTCTCAGATTCCATGCTATCATGGTCGACAACGGTGTCTTACGGCTGAACGAAGCAAACCAAGTCAACGAGATGCTGAATCAAAATCTGGGGGTCAACCTCACCGTCGTCGACGCGTCAGATCTCTTCTTGTCTCGACTCGAAGGGATCGAGGACCCTGAGCAAAAGCGCAAGATCATCGGCAACACGTTCATCAACGTGTTCGAAGCCGAGGCGGCCAAGATCGAGGCTGAAGCTGAGGCGGAGACCAAGTCTGGTGCAGCGGCCAAGGGCCGTGTCGAATGGTTGCTCCAAGGAACGCTCTATCCTGATGTTATTGAGAGCATCAGCTTCAAGGGCCCTAGTGCTACCATCAAAACTCACCACAACGTCGGGGGGCTGCTCAAAGACATGAAACTGAAGCTTATTGAGCCTCTCCGGGAGCTTTTCAAAGACGAGGTCCGAGCGCTCGGTCGTCTTTTGTCGATCCCCGCACCCTTGGTTGGGCGGCATCCTTTCCCTGGCCCCGGTTTGGCCATCCGAATTCTTGGTCCCGTGAATCGAGAACAGGTCAAAATCCTGCAACTGGCTGATAATATCTACATCGAAGAAATCCGCAAGGCGGGTTTGTATGACCAGATTTCCCAAGCGTTTGCTGTCCTTCTTCCTGTTAAGGCTGTCGGTGTGATGGGTGACAGCCGGACCTACGAGCAGGTCATTGCGCTGCGGGCTGTTCAGACCGAAGATTTCATGACTGCGGATTGGTATGAGAGCTTTGACCTTGCGAAATTTCTCTTATTGTTCTCAGGTATATCTTCCCTGCTGATGTTCTGCGACGGATATCTTCCCGCATTACCAATGAGGTGTCTGGGATCAATCGTGTCACTTACGATATCTCGTCAAAGCCGCCCGCTGTGAGTCCTCATCTCGAATTCGAATCTGATTCTCACTTGTGCTCAGACGGTCGAGTGGCTGTAATACGTCTCCCTTGTTGTATCTAGTAGAATTTGAATAGGTGGTCTAATCAAAAGAGGTCGGTGGCTGTGTTGTTCATGTTTGGTCGAGTTAGACAATGGATCGCGGCGGCTTGTTCTCCTCCATTTAAGGCTGCAGCGCTTGAAACAGTGATACCTTTCCTTCGCTTCTAGCATGCTCGACTCTTCCCCTATCGCTTTGTCTGTGTCTCCGCGCCGCCCGCTCAAGCGTTCTGCATCGGTGGCATCCCTTCCAACTCCTCCGCGCACGCGTCACAAACGAAAACGGGGCGGATCCAAACACAGCGATGACAGCGAGGAAGAAGAACCTGAATCCTCTGACGTCGAGATCGATGAAGCTGCTGCGGTCAAAGAGGCGGAAGACGAGGAGGCGTTCTGGCTTTCTGCCAACAAAGTCACCAGAAAGGCCGCGACTGCCCCATCGACGACCAAACGCGTCTCAGCTCCTCTTCTCTACCGAAAGCTGCAGCAGAGCCAGCCACGAACACGAGCTCAGCAGCAAACACAGTCGTCTCAAGGGCTCGTCTCGCCTCCACCCTCGCACCGCAAGCCGGTCGCCAAAGCTGCGGTGGCAGCGGTCTCTGCACCTCAGTCTGGGTGCAGTAGTGCTGCTTCTCCGCCAAAGACTCCGCCCTCCAAACCAGCAGCTGGCTGCTCCCGCCCTTCTCGCGATTCTCCCGAAAATCCATTCCTTGCCTCCCCGTTGGGCCCCGACGATGAAGTCTTCGTGAACGGGCCCGACTCGATATTGGCCCCTCAAGACGAAAAGGCGACAATGGCATTTGTTTTGTGCGTTGTCAATGTCGCAGGCTTGATCTATGCGTATTGACCTCTCGTTCTAGTCGTGGTGTGCGCAAGGAATTCCCTAATCCGCATCTCAAAGCTGCAGCCGAAGGCCCGAATCCGAACTCCATGCTGCCGCCCGAGCATCCGGACTTTGAACCTGACGAACGCGGTGTGCGCAAGCTATTGTTTAGCGTGCGGCGCAAGGCTGGGGCTTCCAGCCCGCCGAAAGATAAGGGCCGTCGGAGCTCGTCCATTGCTAGAGGGCGACAAAGCCGGCGTGTTGCGTCATCTTCCACTTCAGAGAAACGCGCTTCAGCCATACCGACAATCGAAGAGGATCCCTTCCTCTGAATCGCAGGATTATACTGTCTTTACTCTTTACCCCCCGCTTGATCTACCTTTCCTAGCCCGCTTTGCACATGCTCGCCTTGCATGCATATACACCCTATCTCCCTCCATCTTTACATAGTTCACGATCTCCCCATCCTTTCCAATGTACATGTGCTTCCACTACCGCGACACCTGCTTCCTCTCTAATCTTCGAAATGCTACGGTCTCGATAATGTATCTTTACGTATGATCGATTTGAATTCAAGCATTTAACAGAGATAATACAGCGGGTCTATAGACGGGAATTATCAGCGCAGTACAAATAAGGAGCCAGAGACGGTTGGCAATGTGGCATAAACGGACACAAGTATAATAAATACGCATATAGCTGCAAATTATGAGCGACAAGAGGCAAAGATGGAGGTCAAAAACTGTTTCAAATATTAGCCAGATGCTTCGTTCTAGTGTGCCGTTGCTGAGTGGCCTTGGTCCTGAAACTGTCTCCGCAAAATGTGCAACTGAAGGGACGAACATTGAAGTGCCTGTACATATGATCTGTCTCGCACTAATGAGCGGGTGGCCGAGTGTGCGAGCGAGAGAGAGCGGTGGGACTTACTTTTGAGACCATTCAGGGCGGTGAACGTGCCCGAGCACAGCTGGCATGCGTGGATGGCATCCCGCACGCGCCGAGCTGTCGACGCTCTCTGGGCTGCAGCAGATGTGTTCACTGGAAACAACCTGTTTGGCAAAGCCTCGGTCGACACAGCGCTTGACGAACCAGCGGCGCGGTGGGGGTGACTCTGGGTGCTCTCGAGCGAGATCGAGGATGCGTTGCTGGATGCATCCGAGTCGCGTCGGTGATGGACCGGTGGATACAAGAGGTTCGTGTTCCAGCCGTTGTGCGCGGCCTCGGTGTCGGACTCGAAAGTCGCGGGGCTGCCGTACGGAAGGAGACTCGAGCTTGTACTGCCAGCGGGACTCACTCCGCTGAGCTCGGTGTGCGGCGACTCGGCGCCAATCAGAGCCTCGTCGGCCCCCGGAGGCTGGTCATAGTCAGATGAGCTGGCAGTGACGAACGTGCCACGCTGGGGAGAGCTATCGAACGATGTCACGGTGATTCCCTCGAAAGTCTGCAGCTGCAGCTCGAGCGGCGGAATGCCAACCCATGAATTGGCGGGGTGGAAAGATGGGTCGACATAGTTGTACGGTGCGTCGCCGTGGTAGAAAGAGGTGCCATCTTGATGGGAAGATGGCGACCCGCCGGGTGCGTGCGAGCCAGACCACGGCGAGGCAGCAGGGGCTTGAGACATCCCGTTGTGAAAAGTACCTTCATGTGGTGGACGAGGTGGCCCAGTCTCATCCCTGAATTGTTATGTGAGAATGGTAGCCATGTTGTGGGCGCTGGTGGATTTACTGACGTGAAATCATATTCGCTCGAGGAGAATAGGCGCGAGCAGTCAGAGAGCAGCTGGAGATCAGCCAGGGATTCTTCCAAGGGCTGCATTTCAGTACGTAGGACAAGGTGGCTAGATGTGTGTCCTCAGAGGTTCTCCAGTAAACATCTTATACACATTCGAGGTTACACGCGCACTCCTCGTGTTCAGGCCAGTGCTCGAATTCGCCGAGAGAGCTGCAGAGTAGACATCTATGATCGGACTGCTCTAACCTCGGCTTGAGACTCGAGCGAAAGAGAACTGTGAGCTTTTGATCGATCACTACCTAGAAAACGGGAAGGAAGCCTTTTGGGGATATGTACGTAAATCGCTTCGGATCCCTCCAGTGCGATTGGAATTCTTTCCAGTCGTTGATTGAATGTGTCGTCTCATAGGGCAGTATTCTTCCTCCCGATCCTTTCTCCGCCCGCTGCTTTCACCGGGACTAGACATGATTCCGGTCGTGAATTGGGTCTCGGTCGGTCCTCCTTCCCCGCCGCTGGCCACATATCCACTGTCTTATCTTCCACCTTCCTGTGTCCAGATCCGTCCGTGATGTGGTACTTATCTTGACGACTGAGGGGCGCTATGATTTTCACTTGCGGTGGGAAACGCACGTGGCAACAGGCCTGGAACAGAGATTTTTAGTTCTAATTATTCTCTTCTCCATATAATCGCTCTATGGCCTCTCCCGTGGCCGAGATCTCGCTTGTCTGCCCCAGGGTTCGTGGTGATCTTTTCAGTGTTTCAGGATGTATTCTGCCGACTCTGTTCGACGAATGCGCTCTTTGTGCGGCGAACAGCCCAACTGTGGTGTGTAAACTCACCTTGACGTTGATACTGTTAGATATCGACAGGTTATGGACATCTTGGTTGCGCTCCAAAGCTGTTCTGGATCCGGTTGACCCCGCTCATCGCTTCTCCCATGAGATGCAGATGGTGCCGAAGTTCCGCCCGTGAGCCCGGTACATTCCAACCCAGTTCGGACTCCAGGGAGCTCCCAAGACTCGCGATCCGAGCCGTGAAGCCGTCGTTTTCTCTGGCATGCAATTGATGAGACCAACGCGATTATGATTCTGGACGCCCGGAGCCCGGAGGTAGCACTTTGCGGCGTGGCCCTGGTCAAGGATCTTATCGAGACTTTCTGCGCTTGTCGCCCCGCAGCGAAACCCGGCCGCGCCCGTGCGGGGCACCTCATCACATATTATCTTCAACAGCACTGAAGTCTTTTGTTACGTATGGCATAAGATCATGAACTAGGAACTCATGCTGCCCGGAGAAACCAGGCCATCTCAAACAACGGTTCATGATTCAAAGTACTTGGCGGTCAATATTTGTTCTGTCAATATATACTATTAAGCAAGAGCGCTTTCATACTTCCAAATTGCAGATCGCTTCGAGGTGCAACCTGGTGTGATTCATTTCGCGGACCTCGCGTTGGAGAGTTGAGAGGCCAACAATCCGACTTCCGCGTGCGATCTGCATCTGTGAGCGTCTGAGTTTATCTGAGCAGATAAGATCCAATTCAAAATATTAGAATACTGCTCGCCGGACCTTACGGACTTGTGCACATTTTATTCAGACTCACTAGGCTCCATGGATCTGCGTTTAGAGCCGGGGAGAGAAACCAATGCAAAGGTAGCCTGCGTAGACTCGGTTTGCAGTGCACAGTCCTCAGGCGATAATTGATTTACGGCTGAGTCAGAATCGAGAAGAGTCGTATCTGCGATTTCCATCGCGGCGATTGCCGCCTCGAATGATGCCCTCTGCACGTGGCTGGTCATGTGTCCCGGACCGGCTGATCCATACCACGTGCCATATTGCATCACGGAGGGGTGGATAGGACTTAGTGCGGCCTAGTTTTGTCGTCTCTTCGCGTGGATTGGACTGATTCTCACAACCTCGTTATCTCAATCCAGAAGCAGGGAGATATTCGGGCTAGACTCATGGATATGCCTCTTCCGGTAATGGCAGGTAGGATCCCTCCTTCAGCGAGCGCTGAACAAGGTTCAGCTTCGGGTGCCCTTAAATGCAATGTTCGAGGTTCGAAGCTGGTTCCCTCAACTGCGAGTCCAGTGCCTGCTCCTAAGCGCGCCTTTGGAACGCTCGGGGATGCGTTTAGCTTCGTCTCGCGTCTGGGCGCCGTTATGTCCGGGATAATTTCCGGGTTCCTCTCCCCTCTGCTCCGGTTTGCTGTGCTCGGTTCTGGTCGACGTATGCGGCTCACGCACTGGTCAAATCACCTCTTCTTCGGACTGTTTCTATGTGCACACAACCTTCGACGATCCGACCGGCGGATGCTACGGCAGATAGTCATTCTGTCTGGTATCTTTCGCACCAGGGAAATGAGCGCGGTGATTCTGGGGTTTAACCCTCACAGTTTCTGACAGGCGGCACGGCCCGATTATCTCATCTGGACACGAGATTATGATTTCATATCGTTTAAAACGCGTCACTCCTGGCTCTCGTGTCCTCTCATCCCCCCCATATTCCCAGCAATCTGGTATGGCTCCCTACGATATCATCTTTGCCGGTGGTATGTGGCCCATTGACCTGCCGTAATCTTGGAATGTATCGATTCCAGGTGGGACGACTGGATGCGTCGTCGCTGGTCGCCTCGCAGCGGCAGATCCTAGTCTGAAGATCCTGGTCTGTTCTTGCTGTCGATGCCGATGTCGCAGGCAGCTCACATGCCCGCGCAGATCTTGGAGGCGGGAAAGCATACGAGAGATCTCAAGACGCACACGCAGCCTGGCCGATACTTCGCCAACATGGCCTCCGGCGGGGATACCTTCACATTCCACACTACCAAGCCGAGCAAGGCGCTGCGCAACCGTCCATGCATCATTCCGGCTGGGAAGGGGATGGGTGGCGGGAGTGCTGTGAATTGTATGTCATTTGGCCATCGACAGCGACGACTGTCTGCTCAAACAGGGTGCAGTTATGATGTACACTCGCGCGTCGCCTTCGGATTACGAAGACTGGAAGGCTTTGGACAACCCTGGTTGGGGCGCAGAAGACTTGATCCCGTTATCCAACAAGGTGCGGAGCCATTTGATAACGAGGGCACTGAGGCTGAGCCAATTACAGGCTGAGACGTTCGAGGCACCCAATGCGAAAAACCACGGCACTTCCGGGCCTATCAAGATATCGACTTCGCAGCACACGAACGTTGCGACTCAATTTCTGTCTGTGGCGACTTCGCGTGACAAAGAACGGGGCCCGACCGAGGACTGTAACGATTTCACGGCGGAGTCGATCAACAAGTACAGTGTGAGCAACGTGCCTTCTGTGTTCTATTCTTCCCCGCCGACGCCGGTGCAGCGCTGGAATCGGTACATGTCGTCGGAAACCGGCCACCGATCCGACACTGCCCACCACTACATCTACAACCAATCGGACAACAAGAACCTCGAGACTCGCGTGCATTGTCGTGTCAAACGTGTTATTTTCGAGTGAGTTTCCACTGGGCGTGTGACCTTGCGATCTGATCCAGCCAGCAGAAATGACCGAGCCATTGGCGTGGAGTACATCAGTCATGACCCAGAGGATCCCAATGCCAACACCGCTGTCCCCGTTTATGGGGCATTGATCGTGCTAAGCGGTGGGGCGTTCGGCTCACCGGCTATTTTAGAGCGGTAAGTTCTCTTCCACTGGCATGTGGATGGCGTGGTGACATGTGGAAGGTCGGGTATCGGCGCCCCCCAGCTTCTCCAGTCACTCGACATCAAAGAGCTCGTCCCGCTTCCTGGTGTCGGGGAGAATTACAATGGTGATCACGTCCCGCGCGTCCCCGATCGAGCCCGAAGCTGATACGCAGCAGACCACAATCTGCTGCTCAATCCATACCACACGCACGACGATGAGATCACGATGGACAAGATTTTCCATGGGTCGGAGGAGGACATCAAGCCATTTGAGGAACGCTTTCTCAAGGACGGAAAGGGAATGATGGCCCACAAGTTCGTCTCGGTCTCATCGGCTGTTCTAGTATGTTCTCATTAACCACCGTTTGCAGTGGCATCGAAGCGGGCATCAAGATTCGGCCAAACGCGGAGGACCTGAAGGCCATTGGCCCGTCGTTCGCTAAACGCTGGGCGGATTTCTTTGCCAACAGGCCCGATAAGCCTGGTCAGTCTCCGATTCTCGGCTTGGAACGTTGCTGATGTTGAGCAGTCATGTGGATCGGCGCGCTTGCTGGGTACTGCGGAGGTAATCCCAGCGCCAAGGGCAAATTTTACGTAGTGGGCTACTACACGGTGAGTGTCCGCACCTCTTGGATGTCTCCCTTTACTTATTGATGCTAGGAATACCCGTCCTCCACTGGTAGAACACACATCACCTCGTCCGACCCATACGCTGCGTTGGGAGTGGAACCTGGTTTCCTCGATCGGTGAGCCATCATCATCCCATGCTCACCTGAGTATCAGCTGACCCCTCTCTAAGCGATGAAGACGTGGCGGTGCTCCGGTGGTCGTACAAGTGGTCGCGAGAGATCTCTCGTCGCATGGCCCAGTACCGAGGCGAATTTGCTCCCGATCATCCCCATTTCGCACCCGACAGCCCTGCAGCCTGCGTCAGGGCCACGGGGCCTGTGCCGATGGACACACCCGACATCGTCTACTCAGCCGAGGACGATGCTGCCATCGACAACTTCCATCGCGCGTTCGGTGGGTCTCAGGCTTATTTGTCCGCCTTGGCCCCGCAGCTGACCTTGCGCTCAGTGAACACAACCTGGCACTCGCTGGGCACATGCGCCATGAAACCCCGGGAGCAGAACGGTGTGGTTGACGCGCGGTTGAACGTTTATGGCGTCAAGAATCTCAAAGTCGCGGATCTGAGCATTGCCCCGACCAATGTGGGGTCTAACACATACAACAGTGCGTTGGTTGTTGGAGAGAAGGCAGCAGTCATTCTTGCTGAGGATTTGGGCATTAAAGGCGTCTAAGTAGCCTTTGTAATTGCTTGTAAACTATGTATCGAGTGTATTTCGACTTACAAATGACAACCTAGGGTAGATCCGTCACGATCACGTGGACGTGACATCGCGCGCGCATTTACGTGCGCGGTGCCAGTGAGTGAGAAAATTGCCAAGCGTGCATTTGTATGCTCAGACGGTACAATCAGATTGACTCACATCGCGAGCAGCTCGATCTGGCAAGTCAAGTCAGAGAGATAACAGAGTGGACTTGTGTTTGGCTGCCAAATGACTTTGTTGAATGCAACGAGTGGCAGTGCTCGATA